CTCTGAAGAGGTGGGTTCTCTCCCAGGTGATCAGGCTGGGGGCTGCCAGCCCACAGAGAGTTTTCTGTTCAGCCTAGTCAGACCCCCAGCCGGTCCGGCCCTGCCCTGCCTGGCCCTTTGTATCCACGCTCAGAACGTCGTAAGATAAATTAAAGGTAAGGCGTGGGTTAGTGAACAAATGAACCCAAGTCACTCAACAGGGACAGGGGAAATACCAGGGCACGACTCATGCACGGTTACTCAGCGCCACAGGTCAGCTGTGAAGGGAAGAGGAGGCCTGGGGAGGGCAGCCCGACGGCTCAGAGGCCGTCCGACCCACAGTGTCAAAGCAAGTCGAGAGAGAGACCGTTAGCTGTGATTGCAGGAAGCTTCCCTGTTCCTCTTTGAGCAGGGAACTCCGAGGACCTTGGGAACCATGGGATGGGCCTCTCCTAACAGAAATGCTGGTGCGCCCGGGACAGCGTGGGCGGCTCGCCCTGGACAGCCTGGGCAAGTCCCCGGTGGCCTCACCAGCCTTCACTGCCCTGTAATGTATGTGCCGTTACTGACATGTTCACTCCGTGTGCTTGACCTTGAGGGCAATGACAGTAAAGGGGGGTCAGGGGTGAAAGGGAAGAATGAACCCAGTATTTGCCTCTTTTTGCTCTTTATTTAAAGAGTGATTTATTTTATTTATTATTATTATTATTTTTTAACTTGACCAGTGAAAGAGAGAGAAAGGGAAAGTGAGAAGGCAAGCCACCAGGTCCAGGACTTGAACCATGGTTGGCCATGTGAGAGTCCAGCGACATAGCCATTACGCTAACTGCTGGTCCCTTTCTTGTTCTTTTAAAAAAGAGCCTTTGTTTTCTCCATTCCTTTAGATAGCTCTGTTACTCTTTAGTGAAAACACACCCAACTTTATTCCAGCAAAAGCGTGAGGTTACTATTTAGTGAAAACACACCCAACTTTATTCCAGCAAAAGCGTGAGTGGCCCAGGCCGGATGCCAAGCAGCAGTTTCATCACACGGCTGCACCCGCTAGCTGAGAGCAAGCGCAGCGCACAAGCAGGTCATGAGTCCTGACCAGCTCCTGGGAGGTGGTGACCCTGACATGCAGCCAGATGGCACGCCGCGGCCGGTGACACGCTAGATCGCGACCGAGCTTCTGGAGGGACGGAACCAGACGGTGCTTCTATACAGAAAACCTCCAACTTCTGGTACCAGCAGAGCAAACTGGAAAGGTTAAACAAGAGAGAAGCTACGAAAGGGAAGGGCCACGCCAGGGAACTAACAGCACCGGCCCGCACACGCCACCTCCCTGACACAAGGGGTCTGAAAACCGGAATCTGCGGATGCAGCCCCTGGCCGGACGGCGGGTCACCTCAACCCAGCTGTCCCGCCTGCAGATGCAGAGCCTCGTCCTTCTGCGAAGAGTCGGGGTCGAGTGAGAGCGCCACGCCATTTGTGAGGAGCGACAAGATTTACCGCGTACTTACTAATACGGCAGGTGTGAGCGCCACAGGCACTGCCTAAGCAGGGCTAGGGCCCGAGACGCCTCCCAACTATTTAATGAGCTTTCAGGACACTAATCACTAAAATAGCCAGAATCATGTCTTCACAACAAAACGCCTTCCTCTGTGACATGACTCCTCCACAAGCAGAATTCTGGAACACCTCGAATGGGCCAAATGAGAGTCCAGAGGAAAACGTGGAGTGAAGACAAAGCAGCACGTGGCCAGGCGCTGCGCATGAAGGGACCCTACCCTGACAAAAGTCGCCTAGTCAGACCCCCAGCCGGTCCGGCCCTGCCCTGCCTGGCCCTTTGTATCCACGCTCAGAACGTCGTAAGATAAATTAAAGGTAAGGCGTGGGTTAGTGAACAAATGAACCCAAGTCACTCAACAGGGACAGGGGAAATACCAGGGCACGACTCATGCACGGTTACTCAGCGCCACAGGTCAGCTGTGAAGGGAAGAGGAGGCCTGGGGAGGGCAGCCCGACGGCTCAGAGGCCGTCCGACCCACAGTGTCAAAGCAAGTCGAGAGAGAGACCGTTAGCTGTGATTGCAGGAAGCTTCCCTGTTCCTCTTTGAGCAGGGAACTCCGAGGACCTTGGGAACCATGGGATGGGCCTCTCCTAACAGAAATGCTGGTGCGCCCGGGACAGCGTGGGCGGCTCGCCCTGGACAGCCTGGGCAAGTCCCCGGTGGCCTCACCAGACTTCACTGCCCTGTAATGTATGTGCCGGTCCTGACATGTTCACTCAGAGACATGGACACTCCGTGTGCTTGACCTTGAGGGCAATGACAGTAAAGGGGGGTCAGGGGTGAAAGGGAAGAATGAACCCAGTATTTGCCTCTTTTTGCTCTTTATTTAAAGAGTGATTTATTTTATTTATTATTATTATTATTTTTTAACTTGACCAGTGAAAGAGAGAGAAAGGGAAAGTGAGAAGGCAAGCCACCAGGTCCAGGACTTGAACCATGGTTGGCCATGTGAGAGTCCAGCGACATAGCCATTACGCTAACTGCTGGTCCCTTTCTTGTTCTTTTAAAAAAGAGCCTTTGTTTTCTCCATTCCTTTAGATAGCTCTGTTACTCTTTAGTGAAAACACACCCAACTTTATTCCAGCAAAAGCGTGAGTGGCCCAGGCCGGATGCCAAGCAGCAGTTTCATCACACGGCTGCACCCGCTAGCTGAGAGCAAGCGCAGCGCACAAGCAGGTCATGAGTCCTGACCAGCTCCTGGGAGGTGGTGACCCTGACATGCAGCCAGATGGCACGCCGCGGCCGGTGACACGCTAGATCGCGACCGAGCTTCTGGAGGGACGGAACCAGACGGTGCTTCTATACAGAAAACCTCCAACTTCTGGTACCAGCAGAGCAAACTGGAAAGGTTAAACAAGAGAGAAGCTACGAAAGGGAAGGGCCACGCCAGGGAACTAACAGCACCGGCCCGCACACGCCACCTCCCTGACACAAGGGGTCTGAAAACCGGAATCTGCGGATGCAGCCCCTGGCCGGACGGCGGGTCACCTCAACCCAGCTGTCCCGCCTGCAGATGCAGAGCCTCGTCCTTCTGCGAAGAGTCGGGGTCGAGTGAGAGCGCCACGCCATTTGTGAGGAGCGACAAGATTTACCGCGTACTTACTAATACGGCAGGTGTGAGCGCCACAGGCACTGCCTAAGCAGGGCTAGGGCCCGAGACGCCTCCCAACTATTTAATGAGCTTTCAGGACACTAATCACTAAAATAGCCAGAATCATGTCTTCACAACAAAACGCCTTCCTCTGTGACATGACTCCTCCACAAGCAGAATTCTGGAACACCTCGAATGGGCCAAATGAGAGTCCAGAGGAAAACGTGGAGTGAAGACAAAGCAGCACGTGGCCAGGCGCTGCGCATGAAGGGACCCTACCCTGACAAAAGTCCAAGAGCTGAGTCCTCCATGGTAGAAAGGGCGTCAGGGGACACGGGCACACTCGAGGGAGAGGCGCCGGGACGGGCACGCGGCTCTTCCGTCCCCGTTTCTGCCATGTTAATAGGGGTGTGTGTTGCCTTCATATGGAAATCCACCTGCGTATGGGAAGAAACACTGAAAACATTTTCCAGGCCAGCCCCGGGGATCAAGGGAGCCGGATCCCTCGTGGAGAACCCTGGTTAAAATCCTGACCACGTGGCTTGAAAAGTATGCCAGGCCTATGTGTGTGTGGGTGCCCCACGTCCCGGCAGGATGGAGACATGGAAGGGGAGAGATTGCCCACACTCTCTCTCCCTCTCTCTGTCTCTCATGAGTCCCCTAGCCAAAAAAAAAAAAAAAAAAAAAAAAAAAAAAAAAACCCAACGAGTGGGGGGGGATACAA